CACAAGGAGGCCATACAAAATATTAATCATATAATAAAAAATGTTGTGTTAGTATCATACTTTAAATAATAAAAAAAATAATATTAAATTAATAATGAAAATTTTACGTACCTTTAAAAAATGTGTCTGCCATTCTTTTCGCCAGGGACTGTATTATGAATTCAGTAGTGAAAATGTTGATTATTATGGAATTACTGCTGAGACATTATGTCCATTATGCAATTTAGACCATGATGATGAGGAAGACATAGAAGGTAAATATGAAACTGGATCATACTATATTAAATGTGAACAGCGCGAAATTCAAATTACTGCATAAACCCCACCAATTATTGTCAGTGGAGTGTATATAGTATTGCAGTTAACGTACACTCGGAGACACATTAAAAAAACTTGTCAACTGTACACATCTGGACACGAACTTGTGAGTGGTTGGGAAATAATATTTTTTAGTATGTGATATCCAATGCAAGAAATTAAATTGCTTTGAAATTATATAAATGTTAACATGGATACACAAGCCAACTCCGATGTATATAAGATCTAGATGATTGTGTAACAATATATTAATAAATAATATTAATAATAAGCATAGATTATACTTGTAAAACCAAGATTTTTTGTTATATTCACTCTCATTAATTCCGATGTATATAAGATCTAGATGATTGCGTAACAATATATTAATAAATAATATTAATAACAAGCATAGATTATACTTGTAAAAACCAAGGTTTGTTTGTTATATTCATTCTCATTAATTCCAATGTATATACGATCTAGATGATTGTGTAACAATGTATTAATAAATAGTATTAATAATAAGCACAGATTGTACTTGTAAAAACCAAGATTTGTTTTTATATACAAGCTAGTAATAGGCTATTTAACTTTTAAGCATTTCTATTATAGTGTTGCCATGATAGTTTCATTTCATCAATTAATATTATAATAAATTAATAACCTATAATAATTATAAATCAGTCTCTTATAATTAAAGTCATAATTTTTCTAACACAACCTTTCAAGTAGTTATAAGTGACTTTGTAGGGAACACTTTGGCACAATTGTTGCTGCTGAATTTGTTTTAGTCTGCAATACTAGTTGGAAGAAAATCTTAAAATAGGTGTGAAGAAAAGAAACACTTCTGACCTGGCATAGAATAACCAATATTTAAGCTAGCCTTTTCTTTTAACTGTTGTTAAAAGTCCCATTCTGGCTCTAAAAATTTCATTGTGATTGAAAATCATTTGCTATATGAAAAATGGAGATTTTTTTTTGAAATGCATATGGGCTAATCTGACTCATTTCACTAATTAAATTTTGGTGATAACAATGGATTTGATCTGCAGCACAGATCAAAATTTGTGATAGAATCAAAATTCGTCCAATAATAAACATGATTTTATCTAAATTTCTTGCTTGAAATACACTCACTGGACAAAAATATATGAACATTTGTTGATCATCAAAAATAATCGAGTGACTTTGATGTAATAAAACTA